ATTGGTTTATCTATTTATAACAAAGTTAATCACTGAACAATGATGGCCTGTTTTCCAAGGGACGTGATATAATTAATCCTGTTGCACAGAATAAATAGATCTTCTTAAGTTTGTGTTTGTTTTAGATTGTAGCCCCAGATCCATTACCCATTGCAAAAGTTAATCTCAAAGGTCACCCTGCCCTGCTGGGGATAACATTTCATAATGTATCACATAAAATCATGTGATCAAATATTGCTGTGATAAATCAGAATATTTGCAGAGTCCATCCAAAGCAAAATATTAAGATTTCAAACCTGTGCTTTCTCTCATTTGTTCCCATAATTTCCAAAGAAGCATCACTTTTTACCTTGATATTTGCTACCTGTAAAATTATGTGTTTATTATCCATCTTGCTTATGATGATTTACAGGATAATTTATGTTTGCTTACTCGTTTTACTCGCTGAAATTGCGATGTTATTGGCATATTTTGAAATAAAGTACCTAAACAATTGCTTACATGTCTCTAAAAAAACAATTATTTGTTAAAATCTTTATTCTTGTAAGTTAGTTTCTCTCAAAGCTTGAATAGGTGGTTGAAAAAAAGAAAGAAAAATGCACCTTTAAAAAGTTTTTTCAGCTTGTGTAAACATATGGTTTATAGTTTTTTCAGCTTGTGTAAACATATGGTTTGTAGCTATTGATGAAATGAAATTAGGATTCAGTGTTATGATTGCCAAGATCCTGATTGTTTAAACATGCACTTTGATGAATGTGATGTGTTGTGTCAAGACGGAATTGAAAGCTATTATTTCAACATTTAATTTGGTCCTGACAGTTTTAGTGCACTTAACAAACTACCATTGTAATGAACTAAACTTAATGGTCTCTTATCATATATTAAATCCATCACATTTCACAATGTCTGGAAACACTTATTAAATTTCAATTGATCATATATTATATGCAGAATTAAAATTATAAACTATTTTTCCCAATGTAATTGAAAACAACGATTCATCGGACACATGCTTCTGAGCCGGGTCCACAATAACATTGTCAAAGAGCAAAATAACGATGATTTCGAGGAAATGATTAAATAAATAGAATAAACTAATGAATAAAATCAACAACAGCATTCATAAAAGTTGTCAAGCGTACATATAAAATTACTTTTTCCATCTTTTTTGTGCGATCATGTAATGCAAGTCAAATCACTGACAAGTGACATCTCGACTCTACGCCGCCTCAATCTTCAATTCGGACCACGATGTTTAATCACGAAAATATATGCATGAAGCACTTTTGTCACAGGTCATAACCTAGCGACGATCCAATAAGTCCATAATTTACGATATGTGGCGATTTCTTGCTTAATTTGTTCAGAATAGCATTATTTTACCCAAAACTTTTCGTCTAAATCTAAAAAATTTAGTTTCACGGTATATCCATTGCAGTAATATGATAGGCTGCCTTAGGTCCGCGTGTCTGATTTTGACAATCCACCGACCCTTATAGCAGACTGTAGCGAAAAAAGCGTCATTAGAAACCAATTTTTATCCAATAAAATAAACTTCTTACAACTGTGAAAATACTCTCGCGAAGGGTTCAGTGATGTTGTTGATGTTCAGAGCTTTGAGCGATACCCGGCATCAAAGCGATTAGCCTCCCATGTTATTCATCTTGAAGCCGAAAGCGGAGGTATTTTCCGTTGTTATGTCATGTTACCGGCCCGGAAAGCCACAGATATCGGGAAATAGGCTGACCATACATATTATTTAAGAAATCTTTTTATAATAATTTTCTGATTACGTAAAAGTGAAAATATAAAAGAAAAGGCACGGGCATGTTATGACATGTCACAAATGGAAAAAATCACCTTAGTTTTGCTTCTTTAAATGGGTTTATCTGGGCGTTATAAATGTAAGCTTGCATTTTTCATTCAAAATAATTTTATTTAAGTTGTAGTTGTATTATTTGAATAATATTATAAAAATAAACTTCATATTTATCAACATTAGGATTAGATCTTTTAAATGGTGTATGGGATGTAGTAGCAATAACGTTTTGCAAGCTTATAATTTCCTTCATAAACATAGGCTTCATCTATGACCTCAGAGTCTCTGGGAACTCGGTGTCATGGCAGTAAATGCCTCTGGTTGACTGGTGTTGAAAGAGTTAATGTAGTCTACTGAAGATGTTTGTACCAAAATTTTAAATTTAGATTGTACTTTTTCCTCATGAAATTTAATCTGTCCCTGTCTCCGGGAGGAAATGTTGTGTGATCCTAGTGATACAGAGGGGCGGATACAGCTTTTTGAGAAAAGAGGGTTGCGCAGTTCAGAAAGGGCACCCCTGAACCCCCGCCTGGATCCGCCTATGATACAACATGTGTGTCGGTGGGGTAGCCTGGTGGTTGAAGCGTTCACTCATCACGCCGAAAACCTAGGTTCAATTCCCCACATGAGTACAATGTGTGAAGGCCATTTCTGTGATATTGTTGGAATATTTCTAAAAGCGGCGTAAAACTAAACTCACTACAACATGTGTAGCGGTGGGGTAGCCTGGTGGTTGAAGCGTTCACTCATCACGCCGAAAACCTAGGTTCAATTCCCCACATGAGTACAATGTGTAAAGGCCATTTCTGTGATATTGTTGGAATATTTCTAAAAGAGGCGTAAAACTAAACTCACTACAACATATTAGTGTGTTTAATAGGGCAGAGTTGGTAATGCAGGTTGTTGCACCTGACAGGATACTACTCAACACAAGCTGTTGTGGTATATCTAGTAGACTACACTCAGTCTCTAGGATACATATTGTTCTGGAAACAAATAATCCCATTTGAACTGAAAAGTCGCCCCAGTGAGATGGAGGATTCTGAACTTGAATAAATCTAGACTTACTTCATTTAGGGCTTTCACATTGCAAAAAAGGCTGGGTGGAGAGGGTAATTATGTGGTTCAGGGACTGTGAGACAGACCAGTGTATGAAACACTTACTGTAAGTACTGCCGCACCTACTGCCCTAACGCACTGTCAAGTTTAGTTTCATGTCCGGGAAAGAGCTGATAATCAATACACAAGCGATGCATTTGCTACGAATACAGATCAGGGATACATCTAGGATTTCACCCCAAATGCCCTTATCAGGCACTTTAGGAAACAATTCTTCCTTCTAAATTGAGATGTTTGGAAATAATATTTTCTTACTTTCTACTGTATTTTTAACACTTCATTCAACACAAGAATTAGAACAACGCATTAAAGCCTCAACCTGTATTGATCTGTGAAATACAAGCCAACTCTAAACAGCTGTAATGTTTCATAATACATTTGACACTAGTTGGGGATTTCATCCCGATATTAGTTGGACATGCAGTATATCAGCCTCTGAGCTGGTGGAGACAAACACCTGCAGACAGTCATTATATATAGTGGCAGGACCCGCGAAGATCCGGCTCAGAATTGATCTTCAGCAACCCATGATTTTCGTAAGAGGCGACTAACAGGATCGGGTGGTCAGGCTCGCTGACTTGGTTGACACATGTCATCATATCCCAATTGCGTAGATCGATGCTCATACTGTTGATCACTGGGTTGTCTGGTCCAGACTGGATTGTTTACAGACAGCCGCCATATAGTTGGAATATTGTGGAGTAAAACTAAACTCACTCACTGTAGTGGCAGTGTCCAGATGTATATGATACAGGTATCAAAAAGTCAGTCCCGTACAGATAGCAGAACATAATCTTCTGTGCGTCCCTGTTGATAGCAGAGCAGAGATGTCTGGGGTCAAGTACACAAAAAACGATAGTGTGCTACATGGTTGGTTATGTACTGGAGGGCGGTGGGGTAGCCTAGTGGTTAAAGCGTCCGCTCGTCACGCCGAAGACCCGGGTTCGATTCCCCACATGGGCACAATGTGTTAAGCCCATTTCTGGTGTCCCCCGCCGTGATATTGCTGGGATATTGCTAAAACTAAACTCAGTCAGTTATGTACTGTTGATGGTGTCGAGGGTTGCTCATGATATTGGCCACTAGTTTGGCCCTGATTGTTATATACAGCAGTGAATTTGCTGGTATATTGCTGCACTAACTCACTCCCTTTGATTCCACTCTGCTCATCTCTTCTCCTAATCACTCACTTACACAAGCCGCCTTTGTGTGGCGTTAATTTTTTTTATGCAAATTGCAATATTGAGCTAAGAAAACTATTTCCCATGTAGATTCAGGTACAAGTGTTATATTTTAGTATAAATGTCTCTTTGGTTCAAATTTAACTTCCACTAAATTGTTTTATTGATTTATAACATATTAATTTCCACTTTCTAACTTCCATTAACTGTCAAAACTATGTCAACACATGCTGAACATGGCTCTGTTTAAGCCAAATAATTAATAATGATGTTATAATACATTGTTTCGCTTTGCAAATGGCACTGTTTAATAAATAAATAAGTGTACATGTACATTCAGTTTCTCATGTTCACTGTTTTCTTGGAGTGATTATTTTGTTACTGTGGCACTGCATTCAAGGTATTAATTCTTCTCAGATGCCAGCCATTATTGTAATTAAATATTCAGTTTCCATTCAACTTATTGATTCCAAGTCAAGGCTAGTTTAATTAGGTCCAATTTGACATACATTTCTGGTATAGATCAGCACCAGTTAGCTTGTCACGGCCATGGTACCTGGGATTTAATGCTCACACATAGCTGTGTATGTCTCTAGTAGATGTCCTTATATGGTGTTTCCAAGAATGGGCAGAGTTAATACTGCCAATCAGTAGATCTTGGTACAAGTACTTCCTGAGCCTAGTAGAATACATGAGAAATAACTTCAACAGTTGTAACTCAAGCTTTCACGACTTTCAGTCCTTTATACAGTGACTCCACATCCAGTATCCCAAACGCCATGTTGGTATTTCCTTATAAGGAATGTTTACATCTACACGCTCCTCACCGACAAAGTCTATAAATGGACGGTTACAACAAACCTAAATATGGTTCACACGCTTGTGCTGTTGTCCGACAAAGCCGATGTGAGGCTTAGTTAGAGCTTAACCTGCGCAAATCTTCCTGGCTTGACTCACCAATCTGGGGACAAGACAGTTTTGGGAAGTTGCCTAGCGCACAGATTGACCATTGACCAGTGCCCTCCATACCAGAGTCACAGCAGGTGAAAACAACGTGAAGCTCGTTAACTGCATACCTGCACAGGTAGTTCAAGCATCTTGTTTCGGGGACATTGTGCATGGGATAAAAACGTCACACCTGACTGACTGGACATAACCCTGGACTTTGTAAAGCTATTCTCCCACTGGCTGCTAGTAAGTTTAGTTTTCATGGCATTGTTTCAAAGTAATTACTTGTTTTGCATTTAGATGGATGCTTGCATACTAATAGAGTGTTGATATGGCAGTGTTATTAATAATTAAACAATATGTGTCAGTTAATAATTTGCAATATTGTAATGTTCAAATAATGCATTAGGAGAACACTTTCCATAATGCATTATGGTTTTGATTACGCGGGTTTAGTGCCCATGTTTTAATTTACAGTTGACGGAAAGACAGCTTTAATGTTATTTGCTCGTTGCCTATTTTTAGCCTTTGGTTAAATTAATTTAACAAATCTTATTTGCATAAGAATATTGCAGCATCTCCACCCACTTACACAATACGTGTAAAAAAAATTCTGTGGTTTAAATTTAAACATTTGCAAAAAATACTATTTGCCTATTTGTTTGCACACACTTTAGACACTGAAGCACTGTGTTAATTTTTTTCTATTTTTTTTTTTTATTGAGTGTTACTATTAGGCAGTAATATCTTGGATTTCCTGCCGTCAAGGCTGTGTAAATAGTCCTTTGACATTTGACTGATAGAAAGAGCCGATATAGCCTTATACGCACATCTGTGTATAACTGCTATATAGCATGCCTCATGCACAACTCATTGTCACAAGGTATTGATTGGCTGTTTGTATTGGGTAATGAGTGCTATGTAGTTCAGGTAAATATGTGCATTGGACTGGAACGTGTGAATGAAATATTTCTTTTGTAAATTTGAATTTGTAAGATGTGAGTTTTTGTGTGGATTTAAGACTGATAAGAATTTATATATGTAATTTCTGTGGGTATATCATTGAATATTGTTTTGTGGTCTATGTGGTTGAAGATTGTTATTGAGGTCAAATTGTTATAATGTGAAAGTTTGTGCTAAATAATATTTTTAAGCCTCCTACTCTGAATTTGCCTTCCGTTTCCTTGATGATAGATTTTTGTGTTATTATACCCACAGGCTATTAGTCGACTCAGGATTTGGACATGTTGTATGGTCACAAGTGGTCCATTTGTTTGGGGGGTGGGTAGCCTAGTGGTTAAAGCATTCCTCGTCACACTGAAGACCCGGGTTTGAATCCCCACATGGGTACAATGTGTGAAGCCCATTTCTGGTGTCCCCTGCCGTGATATTGCTGGTATATTGCTAAAAGCAGCATAAAACCATACTCACTCACTTGCTCACCCATTTGTTTGAGGTTCCTGAAATTGGGTTTGTTGCACTTGCCAGAAACGATCACAGGTAGAAGTTTCCAGGTTTGTCAGTGCCATACATGCGCTTATGGATTTTGTCAAAACAGTATACGTCAAGACCTGCGTCATATACTGCGAGAAATAAATAAGGGATCACAGAAAAATTGAAGCGTTCCTTTATCATTTTCCAGTTTTCATCGCCACAGCGCTATTCAAAGCTGGTGATGAAAACTGGAAAATATAAAAGGAACGTTTAAATTTTCCTGTGATCCTTTATTTGTTTTCTCTCAGTATATCAGGCTTTCCTACCACATGAGACAATGTACATGAAATACTGTTCAGAGTGGTTTTAAACCCAGCTCACTCACTTTCTAAATTGGACATGCAGCTGCAGTTCCTGCCAGACGATGACCGGATGACACACTGGTAGCATGCGCCTGGCTGTTACAGGATCTACATTAGACTAATGCTTAGTGCCTGAATATATATAATTTTGATAGTAACAAATATACCCATATAAATTGAAAAGGAGCCACAGGAGTTGGGAGATTCTGAACCTGGGGAAATCTAGCATTGCAGGGAGGGCAAGGCATTAGGGAAAATAATGTGGTTCACGGACTGTGAGACAGACTAGATCGACATTCACGATGCAGTCTACAAGTGGCTGAAAGTGGGCCACAGATTGTCACTCTGACAGGAACACAAAGCGTACCTCAGAGAGAAAACATGTTCCAGGACACACCCTTAGTGATATAGCCAACAAAATAATTTCCATTCCCTCAACTTGGGTCAAATATGTTTTGTGTAAGATATGAGTCATTTGTAATCAAGCATAGAAGTCCTAATTCTTTGTCACAACCTTGGTAAAAAGTTAAGAGGTGCTCCTTTGTTTTCAGACATACGGCAAGAAAGTTAGTTGCACCAATTAAGGATCAGTTGAGCTGAGGGTGTCATCGACACAGGGTACTACAGAAAAGTACCCTAGCCAAAAGCATAATATACAAACGTAGCCTAGGATGAGTCCCTTCTGCATTGTGTCGTTTTCTTGATGGAACTGTCATACTGTTGTATTAGATGTATTTGATTGTGTTATGTAAGCAGTGTGCGAAATAGTTACTGGCCCACTAGCCTGTGGCTAGTAAAATCAGTCGGGCCAGTAAGGTCATTTTGTAAATATATCACTCTCTCCAACTTGTAAAGTTATAATACACTTTTAAATCATGCAAATTATGGCCTGATGAAAATGTTCATCATGTTAGCAGCTTAATGATGAAACCTGTGTCTACATTCAAATTTGGGACTAGTGAATTATTTTGTGGGCTAGTAACTTTCAAGCATAGCTAGCCTGATTGGCTGGCAAAATTAGGAAACTATTTCGCACACTGTATGTAAGAAACAAGCATACACAGTAACAAATATTTTGCAATGCACAATATACCACTCACAATCAGGCAAACAGGAACAACTACGTACAGTTTTGGTTTTAGATAGAGGCATATGGACTCGTCCGACATTTAGGGTACCAGGTACCTTTCAGTATTTTCACTTTGGTTAGGGTACGTATCTGTAGCACCTGCGCCAACAAAAAACCCTTCAGCATCAGTTGGGCAGGGAGTTGGTAGGTGATTCATTATGAATTAGCATTGCATCAACAATCTTGCATCAGTTCACGACAAGCAGTGTCATTCACTTAGTTGACTGTACGTCATTGTTACCATTTAATTGGGTCAGTGCTTATGTTTGTTGACCTCTGGATGTCCAGACTAGATTACATTCCAACTGCACCACAAAAACTGGAATATTTCCGAATGGAGCAATAACAATAAATAAACACATCAGTCTGTAATTTAAGCGTCTTAAGTCTATTAAAATTGTTTGGTTGAGTAAACTCAGCAATTAGGAGTCCATACAATAACACTAATTTCTATGAAAATGTTTGATGGATGAAACGTTTGGAGGATGATAAAAGCATGTATGATAGTTACTCCCTTTTTAAAATGTTTGATGGATGAAACGTTTGGAGGATGATGAAAGCATGTATGATAGTTACTCCCTTTTTAAAATGTTTGAGATACTGAAGCATGTGACTATGGATAACAACAACATTTCTATTGATGTCTTTTAGTGGCATTTAGAAGTTGTTTGTAGATGGCCAAGATATTTTTATGGATTAAACTTCTTTTTGATTTACCTCACAACGTTTCGGGACCATTCCAGGTCCTTTCATCAGGTGAACTCAATTAAAATTCACCTAAGTTCACCTGATGAACATTGTTATTGCACAGTGTAACGTTTTGATGCATATTCTTACACGATATCAAGCTAAAAGTAATTCACTGTGATGGAAAAAGATGTCCTGAGTTGGAGAACTTGTACTCAATCCCATGTGCTCAACACTTCGGCACACATGTGGTAGAAATGGAAATATTTCATGAAGAAATACAGATTTTTATTGTGTTTGCTGAATCAGAGACCATGAGGTTTATTATTACGGTACTGACTTGATGAACTTAAAATAGTTCCCTAAACACAAGCAGCCACATTGTCCTCATCATGTCCTTCCCTGTGAGATGGATCACAGGCAGCTTGACATTTTTCTTCCTTGCAGGCAGTTCCACACAGCAGTAGGAGACAATACTTGACCTAGAATATCTGTCAACACTTTCTGCAAATTCCAGTCAAGGTCGACAAGACATTTGATCATTGGTAATTCTGTCACACTAACTAACATAGCGATACATGCTGTGGTCCGATCTCATGGCCCACATTCCACTGTGAAGTCAGATACAGGTTATTTACAATTACATAGTTACATTCCACACTGCCTGAATCTAACACAAATAGTTTGTACTGACACATGATGAAGCGGATGCAAATATTGCCATGTTTTTGTTGTGAACTGGGGCGGTGGGGTAGCCTAGTGGTTAAAGCGTTTGCTCGTCACGCTGAAGACCCAGGTTCGATTCCCCACATGGATACAATGTATGAATTCCATTTCTGGTGTCCCCTGCTGTGATATTGCTGGAATATTGCTAAAAGTGGCGTAAAACTAAACTCACTCACTTCTTCTGCTCTGTAGGTGAATGGTTAGTGTGATCTCTTGGTCTGAGTCCCAGGTTTGTTCTCAGTGGTTGAATGTTTTGTCTAGGCTATGGCCCCATTCCACAGTCTTAGCACTTAGGTGATTGTCACTCCCGTTTTTTAACATCGACTTATGATGGTCACCTTTATCACTTTGTAAACAACACCCAGCTCTTTGGCAGATATTCAGCTTAAAGTCTGAGACAGATGTCAGTATTAGTTCTTGGATTGATATTCCTACAACAGCTTTGTAGGGTAACTACTCGTTCCTTTATACTAAAGACCTGTAGGGTGAGGTGAGGTGAAATTGGGTATTACGTCGTACTTGAGAATATTTCGCTCATATGACGATGTGCATGCGTGTGTATGTGTATGTGCATGTGCATGTGCATGTGCGGCTGCTTGTACTAGCCCAGACTGAAGCTGGTGTTATAGTGCTAGCCCACTGAGATACCATGCCGCAGTGAAGCATGAATACCCCACTCAGACACATTATACTGACTCCGAGCGACCAGTCCTTCTTGTACCCATTAATGCCAAGCGCCAGACAGAGACCAACAAGTACCATATTTTAACGTCTTTTGGTATGATGCGACCAGGGATCGAACCCGCGACCTTCCACTTTCCGGGCGGACGCTCTAACCACTACACCACGGAGGCGGTCTAAGACCTGTAGGGAGGTGTTAATGCTTAGTTTTAGAATTAGCATTATAT